CAGACTCTCTCTCTCACACACGCACAGGCTCTCAGACTCTCTCTCTCTTACATACACTCAGGCGCTCTCTCTCTCTCTCACACACGCACAGACTGTCTCTTGCTCAGCCTCCATATTTCTCTCTTGATACGCCTTTCGATCCCGCAGATGCTGGCGGGAGAGGCGAGGACAGCGAGCAGGGCTGTCAACAGTCGGTGGTAATTTTCGCAGAGAGATCCTGAATGCGCCGTGAGCTGCAGGTCTTGCACAAGATGTGACCATCCAGTGGATAGCAGCCACAGCCCTCGCCCTCCGACGACAGGATAAATCCACAATCCTGTGGAGGTCAATAACACGTGGAAAAAGAGTCAGATGGATGAATGGTTTGGAGGCATTTCAGATACAGAATGTGAATCCCTATGTTGCCTTTCACGACTCTCTGCAGTAGGCAGCCCCGCAATGCTGTTCATTATTCATTGGCTGATTTATATCTGAGCCCCGTTTCCCTTAATGCCTCTTAGCTCATAAAACTGTCAGCTTCCAATTCATTCACCCAGCCTCAACAGATACTTGTGGGAGTGGAGAGCAGCGTTCCAGAGTTTCCTGCTGTTTGGCACATACGGGGTCAGTAGCAGAGTCAGCCATTCAGCCCTTGTATTTTCTCCGCCATTAATAAGATCATGTCTGACATGACTGTGGCCTCAGCGCCACTTCCCCTCACACACCCTCCCCCCGACAGTCTTCGCCAAGAATCTATCCCCATTAGCCTTAAAAGTATTCACCTTTTCACGACAGACTCACCGCCCTCTGTGAGAAAACATTTAACTTTATCTCTGTACTAAATGGTTGACCCTTAACTATTAAACAGTGGCCCCTCGTTCTCGATTTTCTAGTCAAGAGGAGCCATCGTCTCAGTATCCACCTCAGGATCTTAAACATTTCAATGTGTGAGGAGATGCTTCCTGACATCATTCCTGAATGGCCTGGCTCAAACTTTAACCTTGTTTAGGGAGCGTACCAGCCACTACCTGAAATGGTTTCTCCCAATCGAATCCCTTAATCCCCTCAGTCAGAACACCCCTTACATTTTCTACACTCAACAGGACACAAGTCAAGTCTGTGCCCTTAAGAATCACAGCGCGTTCTCACCTCACACTTGTAACAGTTCACATGGAAGCTGCGATCAAGAGCCACAATCCTCACTGTCTCCTCCTGGCCTGCTTCAGGCATGATGGGCTTGGCACAAACAGAGCAGCGAGGGGCAAACTTCCTGCTCAAGACAAAATCAGACCATTGCTCAGCTGAAGGCTTCACAGAGGAAAAGGCATCGACACGGCAGATCAAAACAAAGGCTAGTAATTAAAAGATTATCATCAATAAATCTGGTAGTGAAAGGAGGGAAAATATCATCTGGTTTGAATCCCACACTAGAGATTTCAGATATCTTATACTGTTAGAACAAAGGGAGCACCACACTGTCAGAGGGTCAGCGCCGAGGGAGCGCCGCGCTGTCGGAGGGTCAGCGCCGCGCTGTCGGAGGGTCAAGTGAGGGAGTGGGCACTGTCAGAGGGTCAGTGCTGAAGGTCCAAGGTGAGTTGCTGCGATATGGAACACACTTCCCCAAAGAGCAATGGAGGCAGATTCAAATGGAACTTTCTAAAGGGAATCAGATGAATACTTATCAAGGAAAGAAAATAGACACTCAGTAGGTAAAATACAGGTTTAAGTTGGGGGAAGCAGTGGTTTAAATTGAACAGCTCCTTGAAAGAGTCAGCCTGGACAGGCTGGGTGAAATGGCCTCCCAGCTGCTGGATTCTATGGAAAGATTGGGCAGGTCAATGAGGCCTTTTAATTTCAGTGACCATCTCTCCAATCTCATGTTTTACCTTTCCTGGTAGGTTTTCATGGGGAAAGTGTATCTAACCCAGTGTCGTACCTGTCCCGGGAGGTTTTGATGGGGACAGTGTCTCTAACCCGGTGTTGTACCTGTCCCCGGAGGTTTTGATGGGGACAGTGTCTCTAACCCGGTGTTGTACCTGTCCCGGGAGGTTTTGATGGGGACAGTGTCTCTAACCCGGTGTTGTACCTGTCCTTTGAGTGTCTAATGGGGACAGAATAGGGGAAGTTTTACTTACACTTTGAAAGAGTAGTAAGAGCTCTAATCTGTATCTGCCCTGGAAGCACTTAATGGGGGCAATGTGGAGGGAAGTTTTACTTTCAGTTTAAAAGGGCAGAGAGTCCTTTACTCAGTGTCTAATCCTGTGTTGTATCTCTTGTGTGAGCGTTTGATGGGGGGAAGGGAAGTGTGGAGGGAAGTTTTACTTTCAGTTTAACAGAGTACAGGGTGCTTTAATCTGTATCTAACAGTATGCTGTACTTGTCATGGGAGTGTTTGATGGGGAAAGAGTGTCAAGGAAACTTTACTTTCAGTTTAAAACAGTAGAGGGATCTTTACTCTCCATAACACGGGGTAACGTACATGTGGAAGTCCTCAATGCAGTGGATCTGGCTGGTAGCATCCACAGTGAATGGGATCCCATCCAGACACCGGTGACAAACGACACAGGTGAAGCACTGGGGGTGATAGGCACGGCCCATGGCTCGCAGGATCCTGTCCATGATGGCTTTGGAGCAAACCGAACACTGTTCCAGAGTGTTCTGTACAGGAAGACAAAAGAACACAGTCACATCCAGCCAGCCAGACGTTTCTGTGTGTATTCACTGCAAGGCTACAGTTCCCAGATTGTCATTCCCTCCTCTCCTTCTGTTCCCGTTCTCCCCACACACCACTCCCTCCACCGCCCCCCATCCTTCCCTCCAGCTGCCACTCTCACCGGTATAACATAATCCCTTATTGCTGGCTGCCGCTACATCTTAACTCACCACGGCCCCACAGGCCCATGTAACCACCCCTCAGAGAGAGCCCAGTCAGACTGGAACTGACGGTGCGCCACACGACAAAGGGATGGCACAGCAAGATCTCACAAACACTAGCTCAGGCCCATGTTCCAGAGCACTGCCAAGAAAGTACTTGACTAAGCATTGATCAACAAGAACAAAATTGGGTCAGCCACCACCTTAGCACTTTGGAATGAGGTACTTATGGAAGTGTAGTTGTTGCTGTAATGGCAGAAAGCACCTGTACACAGCAAGCTCCCACAAACAGCAAAACGATAATGATCTAGATCATGAGATAACAAGGTGCAGAGCTGGATGAACACAGCAGGCCAAGCAGCATCAGAGGAGCAGGAAGGCTGACGTTTCGGGCCTAGACCCTTCTTCAGATCTGGATCATTTTTATTTATTTTTGCACCCATGTTTCCTGTGTTTCACTGTCACAACAGGAGAGGGGTCTGGTATTGATACTCTTGTCAACCAGCATAAAATCCCCGGTCCTCATTTACAATGTGATGACTGTTTGGCTGCGCTGCTGGAAGAAGCAGACAGTGGTAGTAATGAATAGCAGCCTCTGGAGGTCACTATTGGCCGGTGTTTGGCCGTTGTGACTGTGGCTCTGTGCACATCGTAACCAGCTCTGTGCCACACATGTTGTAAAAGACGGCATTTCATCATAGCTGGCTGCATGCAAATAGGTCATAACCAATAGTGTGTTATGTGCATCGTAGCCATCCATGCACTGTGTGCATTGTAACTGGCTGCATGATACATGCCTTGCAATACACAGATTGCTACGTACATAGTAGCTGTTCTGCAGTTTGTGGATCGTAACCGGCTGTGAGTTCCATACGATCGTAGAATCCCTACAGGGGGGGAAACAGGCCATTCAGCCCAACGGGTCCATACTGCCCCTCTGAACAGCATCCCACACAAACCCATCCCCCTACCCTATCCGTGTAACCCTGCATTTTCCCTGGGCACTACGGGACAATTTAGCACGGCCAATCCACCCTAACCCGCACATCCCTGGGCACTATGGGACAATATACTATGGCCAATTCACCCTAACCCGCACATCCCTGGGCACTATGGGGCAATTTAGCACGGCCAATCCACCCTAACCCCCATATCCCTGGGCACTATGGGACAATTTAGCACGGCCAATCCACCCTAACCTGCACATCCCTGGACACTATGGGACAATTTAGCATGGACAATCCACCCTAACCTGCACACCTTTGGACTGTGGGAGTAAACCAGAGCACCCAGAGGAAACCCACACAGACACGGGGAGAACGTGCAAACTCCACACAGACAGTTGACCGAGGGTGGAATTGAATCCAGGTCCCTGGCACCGTGAGGCAGCAGCGCTAACCCCTGAGCCATTGTGCTGCCCATAACCGCCCGCGTGCTACTTACGATGTAACAGGACTCGCAGTAAGATTTCTTGTCGATAGCATAGAAGGGCTGGCCCCTCAGCCGGCAGCAGCAGGTCAAGCAGGTAAAACACTCGACATGGAAGACTTGGTCCATGGCAATGCAGCCGGTACCGTCTCCTACCACGTTCTCCCCACAGCGAGCACAGCGCCCTGCCAATGGAAACAAGGCTCAGAGCCGCCAGCCACAACAGAAAGAAGCAATCCCTTATAACTGACTGACCAACCAGGTAACGAGCTCGTGTTTGCTTTAACCCCAGAAAGGCTGGAGGGTGGGATGGGGACGAGGAAGGGGATATGTAAACAGTTGATTCCTTCACCACTATGTTGTCTCAGTGGTTAAGCACTATCCAAGTCATTCCTGAACTGATCAGCCTCAAGCTCTGACTGGGTTCTTATGTAGAGTCACCGGACTCGAAACGTTAACTCTGCTTTCACCCCACAGATGCTGCCAGACCTGCTGAGTCCCGCCAGCAATTTCTGTTTCTAGCAATCTCAGCTAGAAACAAGGACATTACAGCACTGAAGGGGACTATTTAGACCATTCAGCCTGTACTGGCCCCTCTATAACTATCCAATGCAGGCCACACCCACCCTCATCCCTTATCCCCACCGCCCTTGTAAATTTCTCTCCCATCAATATTTATCCACTCCCTTTTGAAACTTCTTCCCCTCATTCATTGTGTGTCCCTCTGGTTCCCGACCCTTCTGTTGCTGGAGACAGTTTATCCTGATTTCCCGACCCAGGGCTGGGACAGCGTGTGATATACATCCACCTTCCTTCCCCCCGCCATACGTGGGACACTCACCAAAGTACTCCTCAGTTGGTGGATTGTTCATGTCATGGACCAGTTTCTTGGTGATCTGATCGAGCTCTTCCTCTGGCCGGCTGACTTGTGCCTGACCCCCTGCAGGAGGTCGGCAAGGTGCCTAAGGTCAGGAGAGACATTGCCAACGTGAACAGACATATTTGGAAGCAGCCTCTCTTATTTAAAAGGCACAGTGAGTCCTATTCTATTGCCTCGCTCCGGTGCACGGACGCGTGCCTTGACTTAATCCCCACACCGCTCAGCCCCACCGCTTTCTCACCATCAACATCGATCTAACTCGTTCCTTTCATCCATTCAACGGGACATGAGCACTGCTGGCTGGAACATCATGGACTGCCCCTGAACTGAATGGCTTACAAGGCTGAGGGTTTGTTAAGGAACAACCACGCTGACTGTGGAGGCCAGGCCGGGTAAAAGACATCAGCGCAGCAACGGGCTTTCATGGCAATCGCCAACAGTTCACCATTACCAAGAAGTACTTTTCTATTCCAGAATACTTCTGCATAAATATATTGATTGATTGATGTAGTTGAGCTCTAGGCTAGGCTTCTGGATGTTTTTTTCTTTATTCATTCATGAGATGAGGGCGTCCCTGGCTAGGTAGCATTTATTGCCCATCCCTAATTGCCCAGAGGGCAGCTAAGAGTCAACCATATTGCTGTGGGTCAGGAGTCACATGTAGGCCAGACCAGGTAAGGATGGCAGTTTCCTTCCCTAAAGTGAACCAGATGGATTTTTCCCGACAATCGACAATGGATTCACGGTCATCGTTAGATTCTTAATTCCAGATATCTATTGAATTCAAATTCCACCATTTGCAAGATTGGAACCTGGGTCCCCAGAACATTAGAGACAACAAGGTGCAGGGCTGGATGAACACAGCAGGCCAAGCAGCATCATAGGAGCAGAAAAGCTGACGTTTCGGGCCTAGACCCTTCATCAGAAAATCCTCCCCAGAACATTATCTGGGTCTCTGGATTAACAGTCCAGAGATAATACCACTAGGCCATCGCCTCCCCCATGGCCCACCCATCCAGCGACATCATCACTACATCAACATCTCTCTTTGCCAACTCTGTTCATTCCACCCTCTTTCTTTTGGTTGGGGTGGGGGTGGGGGCAGTAGAGAAAAAGAGTTCCAGACTTCACCTCCCTTTTGCATGAGGGAGTGCTTCCTGACTTCACCCCTGAACAGCCTGGGCTTGGATTTTAAGGCTCTGCTCCAAGTTCTGGATCCCACCCTCACATTTGTGTAAAAATTCATCTGGTTTACGAAAGAAACCATTGGGCCTTCAGGGCGGAGGAGAAGAATTTTTTATCCCCTCTCAGAGGGTTGTTTGGCTTTGGAACTCTCTGCCTCAGAAGGAGGTGAAGATAGGGGTCACTGAATACTTTTAAAGACCGAGGTGGATAGATTCTTGTAGCGCAGAGGGATCCGAGGTTATGGGAGCGCATACCGGGAATGTGGAATTTCAAAAACCGACTGATCAGCCATGACCAAGAACCTTACCTTTCTGCGCCACAGGTGACTCCAGACCCACAGCCCATGTGGTTAAATAACCCAACAACTTGTGACCTTTCCTGTGGGCAATACAAGCCAATTTGAGAACTAAACTGTATAGCATAGGAAGAGACCATTTGGCCCATCCTATCTGTACTTGCCATTTTGAAAGAGCTCTTGAATTAACTGTAACCTGGCTCCTTTCCTCTGTAGCTATACAATTTCTTTTCCCCGTTTAAATAATTCCCCAAATCGCTTTTGAGCCCTCCCATTGATTCTGCTTTCACCACATTTTCATGCAGCTCTTTCCAGACCAAAACAACTCAGCACACCAACAAAAATTCTCATCTACCCCAGAGTTCTTTTGCTAAACCTTTTCAACCTGTGCCTGACCCTGATCACTACATCCAACACCATCAGACTTGCCAGCAAAACTCTCAACTCATCATATACAGCTTCCAGCAAGGTCGATAGCCATTGGTAGAGCAAGCACAAATCTGTATCCAACACAAACTGAAGCTCATTCAAATCTCTGCTGCTTGTATCCCGGTTATCATTTACCACCTTCCCTGCATCCATATGACCTCCTCCTGCCCCCTACACCCTTCCCCATATCTGTACCCTCCCCCAGCTCCTAAACGCCTCCCTATCTCTGTACCCTCCCCCAGCTCCTAAACCCCTCCCCATCTCTGTAACCTCCTCCAGCCCCTATACTCCTCCCTATGTCTGTCACCTCCTCCAGCCCCCACACCCCCTTCCTATCTCGGTCACCTCCTTCAATTCCAGCCTTTGAGCATTCCCCGATTCCCATCGCTCCATATTGGTGGCGGTGCCTTCAGCTGCCTGGGTCCAGATGGCTGGAATTTCCTCCCTAAACCTCTCCTCTTCTCTCTCTCCTTCTTTTCGATGCTCTTTAAGCTGACCTCTGACCAGGTTTTTGGTCACCTGCCCTAATATCAACTTTGTGCAACGGAGTCAAACCTCTCTTGACAATGGCTGCTGTGAAGCACTTTAAAGATTTTTTTTTTTAAACAACGAGAACAGCGGGTGGACCTGGTCTTACCTTCAGGTGGTGACTGGTGGTGGTTGGCGGAGGTGGTGGGGGCGGAGGGGGCAGCTCCTCACTGTAACTGCCCTTCTTATTGGCTGGCGGCTGGTATGGCTGGCCTGCCAACTTGGAGCCTCCTCCGTAGAGGGAGTGCTCTGGTTTCCTGGCGTTCCCGTACATTCCCTCTGGCCCGTAGGACGTGTCTGGGAGGCTGGGGGATCCCCCAAAGTGGGCGGGCGGATACCAGTTGGGAGAGGCTTGCGGGGGCTCGGGGACTGAAGCATACGACAGCTCAGGGTACCTGTGCTGGGGGGCTCGGTAGGCCGGCTCGGGGTGCTGTTGGAAGTAGGGTGGGGAGACCTGTCGTGGTGGGGGGGGCCCATAGGCTTGCTCAGCCTGGCGACCAGGCTGCGTGTAACTGGGCACCGGCTGAGCCACTTTGACCTGCACGTTGAAGGTGGGGCCCGTGGACGTCGAGGCCGTCGTGTAGGAAGCTGCCACGGGCTGAGGGTACGGCCTGGGGGCGGAGGCCGGAGTGTAGGCCGCAGCCTGGGGCGCGGAGGCGGTGTTGTAGAACCCAGGGTGCGCCGAGGTGCTGTAGGCTGGAGGGTGGGAGGCGCTGCCGTAGGCAACTGGCCTGGAGCTGGAGAAGGCTTCAGGCTGCCCTGGCGCCTTGGCTGCCATGCTAACAGGCGGCTCAGCCATGGGTTTGTACGCGGGCAGTTGTTTGGGTGGAATGTTGGCCGGTTGGGAAGGATAGGGAGTCATGCCTGGAGCAACGCTGCTGTCGTAATTCTGCAAAAAGAAAAAAATAAAGAGCTTGAGGCTTAAGAAAAATAATTACATCCCAATTAGTGAATAACAGTTACAGTCCGAAGTCACATCAGCCTCATGAACCTAGAAACTCTGTGACAGCCGTTCGCCATAACCTATGATCCTAAGGGCACTTTGACCTTATGATCCCATTAACCCGCAAGTTCCAAAGACCATAACCCTGTTAACCTTAGATCAGGTTGACCCAGTGCCCCCCCCACCCCCGTCAACCCGGTTATCCTACGGTCCTCACTGACCTGGTATCCCTGTTCAAATAACCCCACAGAGGCTGGTGTCCTGTCACTCAGTTGCCCTTTATTTTCATGCGGAGAGTCCCTGACACTGATCCAGCTCCGTCACAGCCAACTCTGAGAGTCAACAGGACGCCTGACACTTCTGTTCTTACCTGTCAACCAGGGCTGACCTCGCCACATTCTCTCCACCTGTCTCCCGTTGTCACAGTGCCCCTCTCTGACCCTCGTGACTTGGTGACCCACACTGAGCCAACGGCCTCGTCAGCCGCTCCCACAGACTCTGGCCTCCCGGCTACTGCCCTCTCACCTGCCTTGGCCGGGGTTGGAACGGCGAGTTATTCTCCATATCAGCCAACATGCTGGTCAATGAGTCAATCTCAGCGTCGATACTCGAGGGGCGATTCACAGGCTTCTCCACGGGCCTTGTCTGTAAAACAAGACGGGGCTAAAGAGATGTCTCCTGGTGTAGAAACTAACTGGGCTGGGGCTGGGGCTGGGGCTGGGAAAGGTATCTATTGACCCTGCACAGGGTCAGTTGAGCTATCATTCAGTTAACACCCAACCAATGGACCCTGCTCTTATCTCACAACTCCTCAGCTCCCCAAATTTTTCCTCTCCTCTAATGCAAGGGACTTGCATTTCAAAGATAACACACAGTGTGGAGCTGGAGGAACACAGCAGGCCAGGCAGCATCAGAGGAGCAGGAAAGCTGACGTTTCACCACTCCCTACCTGCACTCACCTATCACCATCCCACCTACCTTCCCTCCTCTCTCTATTTACTTCAGAGGTCCCTACACCCTCCCCCATTTCTGAAGAAGGGTCCCGACCCGAAATGTCAGCTTTCCTGCTCCTCTGATGCTCCCTGGCCTGCTGTGTTCATCCAGCTCTACACTGTGTGTTATCTCTGGCTCCAGCATCGGTGGTTCTTACTATCTGACTTGCATTTCAAAAATGCCTTTTGCTACCTCAAGACAGCCTGAGGCAATTCACAGGGAATGATGTTTCTTTGTAAGTGTGGTCACTGTTATACTGCAGGAAACGGGGTGGCCATTTTGTGCACAGCAAGCTCCTGCCAACAGCAAAATGATAATGACCCACATAACAATTTTTGGTGATGTCGTTTCAGGGATAAATTCAAAGCCCAGGACACTGGTCGGGGGGCTTACCTTAATCCCTGACTGACCCTTCTACAAAATAGTGACCACTCAATATTTTTGCATAAACCTGGGAAGACAGAGACCTGGTCCCACACAAAAGTGACAGTGACAGTGCGGTACTTCCTTCAGGGAACATAGCTTTGTGGTTTATGCAAATTGAAATATGGAGCTGTTTGGACATTACTATGTTGCAGGGCTTTTTGACTTCTTGGGACTTGAAAGTGAAAGACAACTGCCAATTATTTGCTGGGGTTGCTGACTAAGCAAATAATTTTGGGAGGAGATATCTCCAAAGCTTTTAAAAAGACATACAAAATGGGTTTATGGCCTTAGTTGCTGACAAACACTTTTGGAATTTGAGGATTGCACTTCCTCACACAGAGAGATGATGTGGTTGGGAGCCTGGTGGTGGTGGTGGTGGGGGGGCGGTGGTGAAGAGTGCCAATTCAAGACTGAGAATGAGATTTTTGTTGGGATTAAGGATACAAAACCAAGGAAGTTAGATTCAGATCAGCCACATTCAAACTGAATGACAGAACAGGCTCAAGGGTCTGAAAGACCTCCTCCTGCTCCCAAAATCTTCCTGGAATTATTTGTTCCTGTGTAAAAATGGTGCTCCATTAGTTTTAATAAAGACTGTCTGTACTGAGGATCATAAACACAGTGATATTCACAAGAAGGCTCAATCAGTAACAGTTTAAAAAAAAACTGAAGCACCGTGGATGCTGGAAATCCAAAATAAAAACAGAAATTGCTGAAGAAATTCAGCAGGTCTGGCCACATCTGCGGAGAGAAAGCAGAGTTAACATTTTGGGATCGGTGACCCTTCTTCAGAACCAACAATTACTGTCACTGGATCACCAGGCCCAAAACGTTAACTCTGCTTTCTCTCCACAGATACTGACAAATAGATTTTAGTTGTTAAAAATGGCTATCCCTCCTTGATGTGCACACAGTTCGTCCCCAGTGTAGTCTGAATGGATCCTCAGGACCTAATGGAATGAGAGAACAAGTGATGGATATGTTAAGTAAGGATTAATTAGGTGTGAATTTGTTTTATAAATATGGGGAGCCACTAATCAGTGGGGGTGAGTTTTAAGGCATGTGGTTAACTGAAATAAAGCTCTCACTAAAAAAATGTTGACATGGACTCTGTTTAAATATAGTGATTTTCTAACATCTAACGCACACGCTGTAATAATTCAGTCTGCACCACCGACCATAGACAAACAGCCCTGTTGTCGCCCTGTCGCACTGCCTCCGGTGGAAGGTGACCATGTGGAATCAGGTGCCTCTCCACACTGGGATCCTCACCTGCATCTCGTGGGGTACCTGTGGCTGTGCCTGGCTCCAGGACATGGGACTCCTCTCCTCCCTGGCGCCTGACCCCGAGGGGTAGCGATGCTCAGCGGACATGGTCGACAAGGGCTGGAACGAGCCAGAGCCTTCAGCAGACGTCTGCGATTCAAGTCCTGTCGGAAAAGACCTGGAGTGTGATTATCAGAGTGTTACCCGTGGCCATGCAGTTGTGGGCTGTGTTTGGGGCATGCAAGTATGTATGGCACATGGGTACGTATGTACATGTGTGGGCATCTGTTTGTGGTGCGAGAGCCTGTGTGTGGGACACGTTTCTTATTCTCTAGGCACAAGACAACTGCTCAAAAACCCCCCAAACCCCAGCCACCATTGTAATATAGAGATCACACTCCCACAAAATGTGATAATTAACTGTATTGGTTGAGGAATAAATATTGGCCCATGACAACAGGAAAAGCAGCTTTCATAGAAACACAGAAGATAGGAACAGGCCATTTGACCATTCAAGCCTGCTCTGCCACTCGTTATGACCATCTAACTCAATACCCTAGTCCCCTCATACCCCTTGATCCATTTAGCTGTAAGAGCCACATCTACCTCCTCCTTGAAAACACAATGTTTTGGCCTCAACCACTTGCTGTGACAGCGAATTCCGCAGGATTTCCACTCTGGGTGAAGAAATTTCTCCTTATCTCAGTCTGAAAAAGTTTATTCCTTATCCTTAAACTATGACCCCTGGTTCTGGACTCCCTCACCATCTGGGATGGCCTTCCTGTATCTAATCTGTCTAGAGCTGTTAGAATTTTACAGGTTTCTATTAGATCCCTCCTCACTCTTCGAAGCTCCAGTGAACACAATCTTAACCAACTCAAGCTCTCCGATTCGCCAGAACTGCATCCCAGCAATCAATTTGGGAAGCCTTCGCTGCACTCTCTCGAGAGCAAGAACATCCTTCTCAGATAAAGAGGCCAAAACTGCACACAATATTCCAAGTACAGCCTCACCAATGCCCTGTATAACTGCA